TTAAAGAAATTTTAACGCGGACAAATGCTCCATATGAGTGCGAAAATTGTAATTTTTTAATAAAATTTGTTATTTAGTCAATGAAGATAAATTGAGTGTGGTTGTAGCGGTAAGTCGAGCTTTCAAAATGAGTGGGATCAGTAAAAAAACAATATATACCAACAAGAAAGAGGAGAAATAAAATAATGACGAGTTGAAATCATCTGCAATAAGAAAAAAGCAAATAAGGCAGTCCAATTCTCGTTGATGGGTTCTAAGAGCTTATTGAGAGAATTGTAATTTTTTTTTATTTCACCAACTTTGAATGCAATTTTTAATATTATCTGAGAGAATGAGAATTCACTGTCATTCTATAATTCAATAACCCTATGTAGATTGATGAAAAATATTGGTTTTGAATATGTGAAATATGGGAAGCGTGGTTGTAAAAGTATGATGTTAGAACGAAACTACATCATTTATTGGCGGCACAGGTATTTAATAGCCAATAAACAATATAGCCAACAAAATTGTAACGTTATCTATTTAGATGAGATGTGTGATAACATCATAAATAAAACCAGCCAAGTGCGAGTAGTACTCGCGCTTAAAGGGTTCCGCACCATAGTACAAGATTTAATACTATGTAAGTACTATTTAAATACTTTAAATGCACAGCGGGTAGACGTTTTATCAATGAGTACGAGGTATAGCGTGGGGTGTGCCATGGATGTTGGGCTTGTTAAAAATCCCTAACTTCGGTTGAAACACCAGCTAATTCTTCTTAATTTCTGACAATTGGGAGTAGCATGCTCACTAGAGTTTAAACCTTGTAGTTAGGCTGACGTCAACTAAATTATGATTAAAAAAATTACGTGTAAAGATGTCCCAGTAAAATATCGCGCAAAAATCTTTCAACGCAAGTCGAATTGTATGCTATAAAATGCCCTAAATATCATGGGCGTCGTTACACAATTCTATGGGGAGGGCAAAATTTTGAAAAAATTTTGAATGTTTATTTGTTGAAAAACAAAGAAAATTAAAAATAAAAGAGCAATATAAATTAACAAAAGTTTTTAATAAATCAAATAACCCAACAAAAAAGACAAAAACTAAAATAAAAAAAACAAGAAACCTAAAACACATATATTTAAAAAACAAACAGAATGTGTGAAATAAAAGAAAAATATGAACAAGAAGAAAGAGCCATACAAATTATTATAAAAAATAAAATATTTATAGAAACACAAAAACAAAAAAAACTCACACAAACACGTCAACGAACACTGGGAAAACGCAAATTTTCTTTTTCCTCTACCTAAAATAATCGATAACAGAAAATATGATTTCTTTTTAATTTTTTGCAAAGCGCAGTCAGCCTATTTTTATTCATTATTCGCTGTGTGCGTGACAGCAGCGCCAACTAATTCATGAACTAACGGACGATATTTGCGTATACTGACAATACAATTTTATTTGGAATTTCTAATTAAAAATATATATGTTGATTTTAATTTAAGTATATGGATTTGTAAAACAAGTGAAAAAATTAATTATTATTATATATTTTTATTGCTTTAGCTAAAAAAAATGTATGATATGTTGCCTAAGCCTAATAAGTTGTCATTGAAGAATACTACTACTCCTTTGGCTAATACCACAACAGGCATTGAATTACATCCGAAGGAAAAACAGCAGAGATAGAAATTAATTTTCAACACTCTCTACTTTGATTTTGCTCACCAAGGAGAACATCATTCTTGGACCGGTTTCGTCCTTATTATGACTCCTCAGCAAGAAATAGATAGGTTCTCAATTCCAGTCTCTAATGGAATTAACAAATGCTACACATTTCACCAGTATACCATAAAGTTGGTTACGGAGAGAATAAAATTCAAGTAGTGAAAATGGTGTCGCCATCTGTTCTTAGTAAGCAAAATCAAAATGCGCTATGGTACCCAGTTTGAAAACTAGGTGGAACCAAAAAGACCAGGCGGGCAATTTGTAAACGATATAAAATATCAAAACTCAAATGTAATAGTAGCAAAATGAAATAAAATGAATTTAGCTCAAAGCCGAATATCACATAAAATACAATGACCGTTTCCCCTTCAGAAAAACAACTACTCCTTTGGCTAATACCACAACAGGCATTGAATTACATCCGAAAGAAAAACAGCAGAGATAGAAATTAATTTTCAACACTCTCTACTTTGATTTTGCTCACCAAGGAGAACATCATTCTTGGACCGGTTTCGTCCTTATTAGGACTCCTCAGCAAGAAATAGATAGGTTCTCAATTCCAGTCTCTAATGGAATTAACAAATGCTACACATTTCACCAGTATACCATAAAGTTGGTTACGGAGAGAATAAAATTCAAGTAGTGAAAATGGTGTCGCCATCTGTTCTTAGTAAGCAAAATCAAAATGCGCTATGGTACCCAGTTTGAAAACTAGGTGGAACCAAAAAGACCAGGCGGGCAATTTGTAAACGATATAAAATATCAAAACTCAAATGTAATAGTAGCAAAATGAAATAAAATGAATTTAGCTCGAAGCCGAATATCACATAAAATACTCTGCTGTTTTTCCTTCGGATGTAATTCAATGCCTGTTGTGGTATTAGCCAAAGGAGTAGTTTTTTTTCTCAAGGGGAATCGGTCGTTGTATTTTATGTGATATTCGACTTTGAGCTAAATTCATTTTATTTCATTTTGCTACTATTACATTTGAGTTTTGATATTTTATATCGTTTACAAATTGCCCGCCTGGTCTTTTTGGTTCCACCTAGTTTTCAAACTGGGTACCATAGCGCATTTTGATTTTGCTTACTAAGAACAGATGGCGACACCATTTTCACTACTTGAATTTTATTCTCTCCGTAACCAACTTTATGGTATACTGGTGAAATGTGTAGCATTTGTTAATTCCATTAGAGACTGGAATTAAGAACCTATCTATTTCTTGCTGAGGAGTCCTAATAAGGACGAAACCGGTCCAAGAATGATGTTCTCCTTGGTGAGCAAAATCAAAGTAGAGAGTATTGAAAATTAATTTCTATCTCTGCTGTTTTTCCTTCGGATGTAATTCAATGCCTGTTGTGGTATTAGCCAAAGGAGTAGTTGTTTTTCTGAAGGGGAAACGGTCGTTGTATTTTATGTGATATTCGGCTTTGAGCTAAATTCATTTTATTTCATAATAATTTATTGTTTATTTAAAACCTTTCAATTATCTGATGTCTAACATTTCCTGTATTACTGGTATTTCTTCTTATTGTACAGCTATCCATTTATTTCTTTGATTTAGTTTCTATTTTGCTACTAAAAATTTATATAATTTACACTGTTTTCTTCTGTTAGTATTTTTACAATTTACAACACAGCAACTGCTATTGCTTTATGTTTTGTTTTATCTGTTAGAGAAAATAATGTGGAAATAGTCTGGAAAAAGGTTTTATTAACGAATAACTATTTGAACAAACAACTAAAATTAAAATAGCAACTCAGGTTAGGAGCGCACATTCGTTGGTTAATTTACCGGAAGTGTAGTCATCTTTATAAAACAAAAGTAACTAATTTAGACAGGTTTGCCAACTATAATAGATATGGGTATTTTTACATTACCTACTTTAAAAAAAGTAAAGTGTATAGGTACGTGTAAGATATGGATTTATAATAAATATATTCAACCTATAATATTCGTCAACTGTATTAGCCTGAATATTATTTTTATGAGATTGTTGTCCGTAATTCGTGGCAATTAGATTTCTACACCTGTCATGTTTATCTATTTCTTTTATTTCTTTAAACAATTCAATCCATTTAAAGGCTACCTAACATATTATGCCTTGTGTTTATTGTTATGCATGCATGGCGATAATCGACAATATGAGCCAGTGCCAGTTGTGTAATTATGTTGTTCACGTAATTTTACTGTATACAGCGTTGCCAAACTGTGGTACATAGTACCTACCTAACAAACTATCAGTAATTCTTATATTAAGGCTGTATGTTACGATACTAATTTAAGTACTAAATTAGAACTAAATTATTGCAGTTTTTAAGTATTAAAAAAATTCACGGTGCAAAGAGCTAATTTAGTATTAAAGTTTGTACTAAAAAAAAATAATTTATTAATTGAAACTAGTTCTATTTTCTACTAAATTTAGTTTAAAAAATGCATTGAAATGTTGCGCAGAAGTTTTTCTCAGAAAAAGTTGACACAACGGTCTTTTCTGCACCATTTTGTTATTCGTTAGCGACAACTTTGCATTATGGCCTTGGACAAATTTCGCTTGTGTTTGATTTTGTGAGTTTTATTGTGTTTTTTTCGTGGTTTTAAGTAGCATTGCTACATTTGGTTGTTGTCAAGTCAACTAGTGTCAAAGTCATAATAAAAACATCTTTTAATTAACTTGTCTCATTTACACAGAATGTTTCATTTCTGTGCTAATTTCACGTAATAATACGTCAATGCGCGTGCGTCTATACTTAATTTAGTACTAAAAATTGGTATTGTTGCAAAAGTGAAAAAATATTTTTAGTTTTAAATTTAGTACTAAATTAATAACTTAATTTAGTGCTAAATTTTAGTACTTAATTTAGTGTTGTGACATACAGCCATTACGCATTGTAAACTCGTAAAAATCAGGGAGGCAACTGGCCTCCCCCCCCCCCCCCCCCCCCCCCCCACAAACGACGCCCATGCTAAAGATAGTTATAATCGCGTATCATCTTTCTCAGTGGGACATCTATCCTCAACATTTTTGATAGAATGTTTTGGTTTTTTGGGCTTACTGACATTACGCTAATGCAACCTGCGACCCATAAAGTATGAAAATTATAAAAATGCAGAAATGTAATTGTAAATAAATTTGAGTTTAACAATAGCCATTTTCATTTCAAATTTACAAAATTTATAAACTAAACAAAAATAATACCAACTAAATTTTAAACTATTATTTGTGAGAATTAAATTTATGACACGACCCGTAGCCGAGTCGTAAATCAATATTACTTACCCCATAATATATCTTCTTTGACTCATTATAGCTTGAGCCGCTGACAGAGCTATAACTTGAGACGGTCGTCTGAGTGCTTGAATAATAGCTGAGGCTCTTCTAGAATTACTTGGCGTTTCATTGTGTACATCTGAACATCTTCGAGATGGATTACAGCTCGATAGTTGTTCATTGTTTATGCAAATTTGGGGTAATGGAGGTGGGGTGTGCAAAGAATATCTCCGATTGTCGACATCTGGGTTTGGAGAAGGAGGTGGGCTAAAACGCAAATAAAAAAGACCACACGTCAGAAGTGAAAATGTATTTGGCATTCGTAACTCTACGTAATAGGTGTGTTTAATTATACGGCACAAATTATTTTAGGAGTCATTTCCTGGACTATTTGCCGCTTTGTTTTGAGAAAACTTTGCTTGTTTGGGGTTCTATGACAGCGGATTTTACATCCATTCGCCTACCAAGTGAAAAATTTATCTAAGATATCAACGACTTATTACATGTAAAGTTTCTTAATCTACAATAATTATCGAAAATTTCTACCTCTAGCTAGGATGCAATAATCCTGTAATTTTTGATAGTTTTTTTGTTGCCGAAAAAAATGTTCATCCTGTATCTTAGAAATAAAGCGGCTTCTCAAAAATCTTTAGAGAAAAAACTATTTTAAGAATAGTCCAGGGAATAACCGTTTGAATTTTTGCTGTGTATTTAATAAAAACCCTGAATATAATAAAAATACAATAATCCATAATTTTTATTTAAACACTAAAAATATAACACTGAAAGTTTGGTAAAGTTATGTCTTATATATCAATAACCTAATTCTAATAGGACATATCACAAATGATTAAAATTTTATAAAAGATCAAAAAAGCTGTTTATTTATTATCAATATTAAATAAATGTTCAAGATACGACATAGTAGAGTATACATACAATAGTCATATATTGCTAAAGTATAAAATATAGGCTACGAATTTTAAAATTTTAGGAAAAACGTACATTTTAAAAATTTTGGAAAGCCTGGCGAAATCATATCTTTTCCTTTCACATCGTTTGAAAGTGTTGAAATCAACTCGGCCGAGTTTGCATAAATGGGAGTTACGTAGCCGCGCGTTTTCACTTCAATAATCATAAATACAACATATTACTGAGGCCCTTCCTATGGTGCAGAAGAAAACATTTTCTTACCCCCATTTTTAAAACCTTTTTTTCATGTTTCCGATCATTCTGAGCCCAAAAATGCAAAAAAAATTCGTCTGGTCATCTGTGTGTATGTATGCCGGCACGATAACTTAGAACAACCCTATTGATTTTCAGAATTTTCGGTTCGTCCTAACAACTTTAATATCAATTTTCTTAAAATCCACCTATGCAATTATTATGTAACAATTTTAGGAATTCCAATTATTTCTAACGTCAACATTCCTAACATTCCATAAATTGCATTCTCCAATGACCTGTCAAACAACAGCTGTTGATAGTAAAAGTGAAATTTCTAAGGCGGGTTGCGACCTTCATACTTGCAACCATAGCCATTTTGGAGGCTTTTGTTATTCGAAATTAGTCGCCAAGCCTGCTAATTTATGAAAAATATATAGGCAGTTTCTTAAAAATTACTTTTTTATAATGGTGTTAACTTAAGCGTACTACTATTTTGCCCCTAGCTACAAAAACAATTTCATAAATTAAAATAACCAAAAAAGGTTGACAGCTGTGTGCACGTAGTTTAGATTCAAAAGGAAAGACTTGTATTTCGTGCAAAACTTTTTAATTAATAAATGCAAAGCGCTTTCGGCTTATTTGCCATCATCAGTGCTTATCTACAAAAATTGTGGATGTAAACTTACAATTTAAAAAATATATTATAAAATCTGAATAAGACTTTTAAGTCAAAAGTTAAAATTGTATATATACGATTGTTTGAACAAATTAACAATTACAAGAAACAAACAAAGTGACAGAAAACTGGTATTGGGAATAGTGAGTGTGGGATAAGCCCTTACGAATCAAATCTGATCTGATCTCCAGAAGCAAGTTAGCTTGTGTGGAATTAAGGAATTATGCCACCTTCACTATTCACAAAATTGAAAACAAGTTAACAAATTAGTTAAAATTTAAAGAAATTTACAAAAAGAGGGTGACTGTGGAAGATATATTGAAATTCGAATCTAAAATACAATATTTAATATGAAGAAAGTTAAACGCAGAAGGCCAAAGTAAAAAAAAACTGAAGGTTTTTTTTATATATATTTTATATACATTATAATTATAAAAAAGTCTACCTACTGTCCACAACGTATCCAACAAGTTCATGGTCATCCTCATTCTCAAAATTGGATATTTCGGGATATTTACAACTTGCTAAATCATAATCTTAGTATTATTAGTATTTTCAAATTTAAATTTATCTATTCATTTTTATTCAAGTTGTTTAACCGTTTCCACATGACAGTGGTGACAAGCGATACTTGAAGACGTTGACTTGTCAAATGTCAAGAGAATGAGGTGCGTTCACCTCAGTGTGGAACATGTTTCTCCAAGTGTGATTCGAGTGATTGGAGGTGGTTAACTGAGATCAAAATTTGTTAATATTGAATTTAAAGATTTAATTTATTTTTAGTTAAATTTAAATAAATATTTAATATAAATGATATTATTATTTTGATGTCAAGACAAAACAAAAATGTCACTCGCGTGATTCTGATGTGCCAGCCCGGGCTCTGCAGAACATTCTTTCAGAGAACCCAAAATGGCACAACTGAACCCGCGGTCCCTAAAGGTGAATCTGATGTTTAGTCCTAAAAATTACTAAATCACTCATCAAGCGTACTCATGGTTGAAAGAGACAAAATAATAGAGAATAAAAAAGTTTTAAACAAAGGAGTACCATGGTCCCAAAGGTAGGACTAAACATCAGATTCACCTTTAGGGACCGCGGGTTCAGTTGTGCCATTTTGGGTTCTCTGAAAGAATGTTCTGCAGAGCCCGGGCTCATCAGAATCACGCGAGTGACATTTTTGTTTTGTCTTGTCATTAAAATAATAATATCATTTATATTAAACATTTATTTAAATTTAACTAACAATAAATCAAATCTTTAAATTCAATATTAACAAATTTTGATCTCCGTTAACCACCTCCAATCACTCGAATCACACTCGGAGAAACATGTTCCACACTGAGGTGAACGCACCTCCTTCTCTTGACATTTGACGAGTCAACATCTTCAAGTATCGCTTGTCACCACTGTCATGTGGAAACGGTTAAACAACTTGAATAAAAATGAATTCCACACAAGCTAACTTGCTTCTGGAGATCAGATCAGATTTGATTCGTAAGAGCTTATCCCACACTCACTATTCCCAATACCAGTTTTCTGTCACTTTGTTTGTTTCTTGTAATTGTTAATTTGTTCAAACAATCGTATATATACAATTTTAACTTTTGACTTAAAAGTCTTATTCAGATTTTATAATATATTTTTTAAATTGTTAGTTTACATCCACAATTTTTGTAGATAAGCACTGATGATGGCAAATAAGCCGAAAACGCTTTGCATTTCTTAATTAAAAAGTTTTGCACGAAATACAAGTCTTTCCTTTTGAATCAATTTCATAAAATTCACTGGCTCTCTGTCGCAACCCCATAGAATAATTAACCGGCCATTATTTGGCAAAAATCAGAACAATACTTGGCTGTGCCTGTCAAGTATCAAGATGTCAACTGTGATGTGTGAATGGCTCTTAAATGTCAAATTATTTAAAAATGTGTACTTTTATATATTTATTGCAAATAATTTGTAGTGTATCTCAATTTAGGCTTTCCATAAATAAAAGTACAGCAAGTCAGATAATATAATGTTCTTATACAAAGCACCTTTTTATTATATAAAAGGTAGGATATAATGCTAGTTTTTTGTTTTAGATAATTTTAATTATACGATTGTGGATTACATATTCAACCAGCGAATTGTAAATAATAATTAGTAAACTCCTACTCATAAATTTCCTAAATTCCAAAAAATTTAAAAATAATTCTTCTTACCTTGGGATTTTAAAGACGTAATATGATTAAGTCATTTCAAATTTTGATTAATTATGATACCGAGATATTTTTTGTGTTTTTCATTTTAATTATAAAGTTGACATTTATTTGTATGTTGAAAGAAAGCCTTTGTAAATTAAATTGCTTTTTATGGATCTACTTTAACACAAAAATAGTTTTGTGTCTATAAGCTGATATAACCTATCGTCGCAAAACTAATAATACTAACTACTAACTAAATAATTTAAACATAGTAAGTAGTATTAATATAAAATCAAGTAATTTTTTAAAATAAAATACATTATCTCAAAACAAATAATTTTTCAAAAGGAAAAACTTGTATTTCGTGCAAAACTTTTTTATTAATCAATGCAAAGCGCTTTCGGCTTATTTGCCATCATCAGTGTTCATCTACAAAAATTGTGGATGTAAACTTACAATTTAAAAAGATTTTAAAAAATATATTATAAAATCTGAATTAGACTTTTAAGTCAAAAGTTAAAATAGTATATATACAATTGTTTGAACAAATTAAAAATTACAAGAAACAAACAAAGTGACAAAAAACTGGTATTGGGAATAGTGAGTGTGGGATAAGCCCTTACAAATCAAATCTGATCTCCAGAAGCAAGTTAGCTTGTGTGGAATTAAGGAATCATGCCACCCTCACTATTCGCAAAATTGAAAAAAGGTTAAAAAATTAGTTAAAATTGAAAGAAATTTACAATTAGAGGGTGACTGTGGAAGATATATTGAAATTTGAATCTAGAATACAATATTTGATAAAATAATTTTTAATAAATGCGGGTAAAACGGGGAGTAAAATAACAATAAATTAAGGGAAATACTTAAAAAGGGCAGGTTTAAAGAGTATTATCACAAGAAAGTATATTCGTTCTGTTTATTTATCAAGTATTGTTTAAGGTTATTTTTGAATACATTTACTCTTGTTTTTTTTTTAATTTATGTAGGCAGTCTATTAAATTTTTCAAACCTTTATTAAAAATTGTATTTGGGGTACTTTTAGTGATGGCTTAGATTGGCTTCTTGTATTATAGTTGTGATATTGCGAATTATATTGAATTTTTTCTAATAGATCTAAGGCGATGGTAATATGTCATTTTTATTTTATAAATAAATATCACTCATGTACTGAACATAATTCTGAACTGAAAGTCAATTTATTTCTTTTATTATAGTTGCAATACTCATCCTTC